GTGGCGATTTGAACGACTCTGGCGTCTATTATTGGGGCACAAACTTGAAGTAGAGTAGATTAGAAGGATCAGCTGACCATACTAATCTACTCTACTTCAAATTTGGGCCCAAATGGTAGGCGCCAAGGTCGTTCGAACCGCCACGCACTTCGGACGCACGTAAGTTCGTTCCCCGTGGCTCCGCAGCGACTGCCGTGCCTTTCCAGTAGGAATTCAAGTCTTTCCCTTCATAGCGCGCGATCGAGTGCAGCGAGAAGATACCAGACCCCTCCCTCATTTTTATCTAGGAGTGAGCCACATTAAGTATCCATTGACACTGTTATCTTTTGGACGTGTGCTTTTCATTGGAGACGGGGAATCGAATCGACTTCATGCAATCGATTCGCCGCACGCGGCACTCGCACACCAGTGCCCTAGCGTTCTTAATACAGCCCGATCAATATGCGATTACTATCTCTAGTAAGATTCTACTGTTACTTCTTTTGCTCCTGTATTTCTTACTCGCTGCGATGCTTCTGACTCATTGGCTGCTTTCAGACCTCGACTTCCGTTCGTCGCGTGCGTGCTGCGACGGCGGCACTAGACAGGTGTTGACAGCGCTGGCACGTGATCTAGTGTTGTGAACACCTGTCTAGCGCCGCCGTTGCAGCACGCACGCGACGGACGGACGAACGGACGGAGGTCGAAGTCTGAAAGCAGCCATTCTGCTTCATTCCGCTTCGTTCCTTCGCGCGCGACGTCGCTCTCGCCGCGAAGCTAAAATTTCGATTCAGGTGCGCCACACATCTTCTCATTTCTATTCACTTTACAGTAGCATCGAAATTACTTGTAATGCGTGACGGTATTTACAATGAACGGTTCGAACAGAGGTGCAGTAGAAATGTAGTAGGACTGAAATCCTTCGTGTGGTGATGAATGTGTAAAATTAATGCAATCTACTAAAGGATTCAGGGTTTTTTTTCGAAATCGTATTCGTTCCAGATGAAATGCTTTGTACATGTCGTGTTGTGAGGATCCAGATAACATGACAAAACGGTGCACCCGGGTATTCATGAAAAATGAAGTCTTGGCAGTGAGTTTTCATAATTCTGATTCCATGAGGTAATGGTTTTACTTATATTGGTAAGAGTCACAATTGCTGCAATCATATTCGCAAAAAAAGTTCATGGACGGGAACTCCTTCCCTCTCGCTTACAAATAAACTGTTTCCAATTATTCCGCATAAGGTATTGGCAAAATGTTCATTACGTAATCATGATTCTGTAATGTTACGGGAGGATCAATTATGAAATGTAGCAGTCCTAGGGGTGCGTCTTCTGCATAGGATGCTTTCAGAGTTCAGCGACGTGCATCGTTCCGACTGGCTGCTTTCATATTTCGACGTGCGTGCAGGCACGCAGGTACAATCTTGCGAGCGGCTGTGCGACGGCGGCGCTAGGGAGGTGTTGACAACATCGGACGCCAATGGATCACGTGCCACTGCTGTCACCCACTTGGATAGCGCCGCCGTCGCACAGTCGCATAGCCGCTCGAACGCCGCTCGCAAGATTGTACCTTCCACCTGCGTGCCGGTACGCCCGTCGAAGTATGAAAGCAGCCACTGACAATCAATCGACCGATCGCGTTGGTGGCTACGCGTTGTCAACACAGGACAGACTCATGGCGGCTGCTTTCAGAGTCCGGCAAACAGGAGTTTTATAGCCCAATCACAGTCGGTAGATAAGAAGAAGGAGGCGCAGGTAAGCTCACATACTTGTGTGCTGGTTGCATAGAGAATGTCTGCAACGATAACACATTGTAGCTTCATTATGTCACTTTTTTTTGGTTTTCGAGTTTTTCGTGGCGAACATTCTCGTTAAAATTAGACTTCGAAAACAGCGGCGGCAGGATTGGAATGCAGCCTATTATCGAATAAACGAGCAGATGAAATGAGATCATTGCGTGGACTCATTGGTATGGCTTTTGTTACTGTCTGTTTTCTTTTATGGAGAAGAACTAACTCATCAGAATAATTTTTTTTTTAATTAGTAGGATCGTGATCCGCAATTATGCTTGTGCCGTTATAATAAATTTGGGAAAATATCTGCAATGTGTGTCTTGAATGGTCTACCTCCCTTTTTCATTGCAATAAACGTCAATATCGGACCAAGGAAAGGGGAAGAAGTTTTAGCCAGGGAATCTGTTTTGAAACACCTATCAGGCTCTATTGTGACATGTCCAGTATACAGTTTTCTTTTGAGCCGTCTTCTCATCATTGTTGCTATCATTGAGTTCGCGATCACCTTGACAACCTACCTGCAACCTCAGATTCAATCACTTCCAACTCTCATCTCAATTACCATTGACTGGTCTACGGTCTCTCTATGGTTGGAACACTCGTGATCAATACTTCTCCCCTCTAGCAGTTCCGAGAACTTTTTTTCTTTAAATTTCTATCCGCCTCCATGAATATGCGATTTCTGACTCAATCCTAGGCCAATCACGCCTTGGCCCAGAAAAGTTCTTAAACAGCACTTTCTTTTGATGTCGGTTTTCTCAGTTTTCAAGCATGCGAGCACAGTAGAGGTGATAAAATTATAGTATATTTATCGGGCTAATCCGTAGTTTTTCGACGGTAATAGCAATAGCATTCACTTAAATGAATAATAGTCGTCCTAAAAATACGTGAAAAGTGTAATTTTATCCTCCTGTTAGTTCGTTTACGATGGTAACAGAACTATTCTCAGTTAGGCGTAAATGAACTTTCTCATGTTGATAAAAGAAGAGTCTTTAAGCGTCAGTCAAACCCGTCTGAAGGATGCGCCCCAGCAATCGAGTTCCGTTCGTGTTGAATGCGTATTTGGCCTATACAATGATCTGCGGTGGGCAGCCGATATACAATTTAGTACTTTTCTCTGCTCAGACAAATCTGGTACCAATTAGCCGGCCAGGGAGGAATGGGATGTTTGGTTGACGTGGGCGTGTATTGATCCGGGATTTGATCCCCGAACCATACGTTCGCGAAAGTGTGAACTGCACCTGTCATTACACCACCTCCATCCTTTCTCGCGATGAATTTGATCAAACGTAAATAACACACCAATCTCCACAATAGCCTATCTTGATTCTTCATAGTCAAATTAGTCCACGATTTGTTAAGAAGTTTCATTACACGAGTACTTTGACTTCCTGCACCGACTTCTCTTTTTTGCACATTTAATAGTGTGTGGATAATATTTCCTCATACCAAATGGAGGGATATAGAATAGACCCCGTCCGAGCGTCCAACGGCCCATACAATTAGCGCAATGTGACTCCTTCTTGCCAAGACTGCGGTATCCATGATTGAATGATTACACGCTACTTGAGCACCTTATTCTGGTCAATTGTGATTGTGACCTGATTTTTTAGTTAGTGAGTTGTTGTAATTGTGCCAGATTCGTCTTGCCTCTTGGTTCTCGTTCATACAAAGAATTCATGAATTTTTGAAGGAATCATACAGAGAATTGGGATTCAATATTCAGTGTCTATCTTTAATGGTCTCTGAACTGCAATCGGACATCGCTATGGTTGGGAATCCAACTACCACATTGCCGCTTAGTACTGTGTTGACCAGATCCGAATCTGAGTGGGAGTTGCACGGCGCACCCCCAAAGCGACGACCGCTGAACGACAGTACTGTTCTACTATCATAAACTAAAGTGGCCCGATAATGTTCGGTTGTTTGACTTGAGTCCTAATCGTACTGGCTGCTTTCATAGTCCACGATTTTGCCCGCGACCGGACGCGAGTATATGGACTTACGCGCGTCGAAGGATGCGCGCGGAAAATTACGCGGCGAAGTTCGTAATGATTTGAACGATTTTAGCGCCTATCATTGGGGCCCAAATTTGAAGTAGAGCAGATTAAAAAGATCACCTGACCCTACTAAACTATTCTACTTCGAGTTTTTGCCCCGAAAATTGGCGTCAGAGTCGTACAAACCGTGACAAACTTCGCCACGCAGTTGCTGCGCGTGTCCTCGGAGGCACGTGGTGCCCGTCCCCCGTCGTCGCTTGTTATATTTTCGTTTGTGTTAGTGTTGGGCACGGAACATTCCACGCGGCAAAATTCGTGGTGATTTGAAACACTTTGGCGCCTATCATTTGGGCACATGTATGAAGTGGATGCACAGGTATGAAGTGGAGGTAGATTAAGAGGATCAGCGATCTTAATGATCTACCTCTACTTCAGTTTTGTGTCACAATGGGTGCTTTCAGATTTCAACGACGTGCCGATCGACCGACCGACAGCTTTGCTGGCAACGTCTTGGCAACGCAGGACAGATTACGTTCAGACTGCGTGAGCGGTAGCGCTGTCGAATGCAATCTGTCCTGTGTTGTCAACACGTGGACAGCAACGTCAGTCGGTCGGTCGCTCGGCGCATGTTGAACTCTAAAAGCATCCAACGATATTCGCCCGGGTGCACTTCGTTGCGCGTGTCCGTCGAAGCTGGGTGCGCTTCGTTGCGCGTGTCCGTCGAAACTAGGTCACGCCGCAGCCGTCGCATGCGGCGGGTCAGCCCGCGATACTTGACAG